TTGTCTTTTTTAGAGTGACCACGCAAGATATGCTTTCGAGTATGGTGTAAACGATCCATATACCGGCGATATAAAACACCAGAAAGAGGAACGTGATGGTGATGTTGTAAAAGGCGAGTACTCTCTGGTGGAACCCGATGGCAATGTTCGCACCGTTAAGTACTATGCCGATTGGGAGACAGGATTTCACGCTCAAGTCATTAATAGTCGAGATTCCGGAAAATTAGTCACAAAACGGGGTTCACCGAAATCGTGAATATTTTTTAAGAATATGAAAGAAATTTTAGTTAAATACACTCATCATCATTTTGTATCATTTTTACATTTTATTTTTTGTAGTTAGTTTAAAAAAAAAAATGCCATCTGTGTATAAAGCGTAAATATGTACATACATATGTTTATGAAGAATCCCATTACATTTGTGAAAAGCCATTACAAAGCAACGCAATTTCATAAACATAGCACTTATGCAACTAGAAATTTGATAAAAATAATAGTTTCTTCGAGTTTTTTAGAGCTTGGTCAAAAAAAATATCTATATAAGAAAAAATTATGTATGTATGTCCATAAATTTTCATAAATTACCAGGACAATTGGGCATTAATTACCCAACTCGTATATTTATTTTGATAAATCAAAGCAGCAAATTATCTCTCAGCAACTCAAATTATGGCTGCATAATTACATAAATATTTACATAAATACATAGTTACGAAATAATAATTTCCATCCGGGTATAGCACGATTTTCACCACTTTTCTACCGAAAAAGACCATTGTAAATACAAGAAAAATAAAAAAATACGATTAAGTGTCTAAACTTTGGAAATGTGTTTTTTAGAGCTCTTGAGCAGCTGTTAAATACAAAACAAAAATGGAATAACAAAAATTATTTTGAATACAAAAATATAATTTCACCTTGTTCTAGAATTCTGTGGCACCTGAAACTCCACCCATTAAAAAGAGCACAGTTGGAACTTTAAGAAAACGTTCCTTTCACTCTCTGACCCCTCTACAGACCTCTAGCGTAAAATTAATTTTTTGACAGATAAAATGTAAGCTGGGGTTACGCCATCCCCAGTATTTTCCGCTTTAGAAAAACTAACCCTCATCATTCCAACGCCGGCTACACTGAATACAGTATTTTTGCCAAGGTATAATTCATTTTGAAAATAAATAAGAAGGCGACCTTATCCATCCCCCCGACACAACATTGCAGATAGAATGCACAAAGCAACGGTAACACTATATTCCTGCAGCAGGTCAGTTTGAACAGAGGTAAACTTAAAAAAATAGATAAAGTCCAAAGGCTTGCGTTCACACTTATAAGTGGTGCGATGCACTGTACGCCCTACTGAACTTTCTTCCCGTAGACATACATACATACATACCAAACAGACATACAAGGCAATAGGCCGGCCGGTTCTAAACTACGCAGCGCCCGTGTGGTGGCCGGTGACTAGAAGTTACATACCCGCCAAAACACTGCACTCCGAACCGCCAGCAGATGCCTTCTGAAATCACCAGAACAACACCTACATAACGAGGCCCAAATGCTCCCACTCAAGGAGCACAGCACCAAGCAGTTCCTAGTAGGGGCGTGCCAGTTATCTACCAGCTGCATAACCTTTGCCGAGGTCTAGAGGCTCATAAAACAACCAATGGATCCGACAGCGTACCTACAGCACATAAACGGCATTCCCTGAGAGGCGTTCCAACTTACACCAACACATTCACCTGATGTGGAGGAGTCAGAATCTCGTCTGCCTCGGGAGACTTGCGTCACCATAGCTCAAACTCCTACCTGAGTAAGATAAATGAAGATGTGCTCAATAAATTTCTGGCATGTGGAGAGTCAATACAATGTGTCGGCACACCTCTTTTCAGGCACTCTAAATCCCACTGAACTAACGCCGTTCTCCCGCTGGTCCAACCCAGTCGGAGTGGCACACTTATTGGGCCTCTGTTGGTTGAGCTTGACGACAACGACTAAGCGTCCCGCCGATCTTGGCAAGGCTAAGTGATCCGCTCCAACAACAACAACAACAACAACGTGGAGGATCACGATGTTGCAGAGAAAAAGATTGTTGCCTATTATGCTACGTACATACATACATATCGCCGGTTAATGTAGAAAACCGCGTATCAACAAAATGCAAAACCGCGCCACACAAATTATTTTCTACAAAGTAAAAACACTCATATTTCAAAATGCTTCTCGTTTTTATAACGCAATCGCATTTCTGCCTAGTATATTTCAGGACGAATGGATAAGGATCGAGCCAAGAACTTGTGTGAGCAAATCCAATTTTTGCCAGCAAATGTCAGTTACGCGGTTTTGTACTTTAAACCGGAGCTGTAAAATGATAGAATCAGTAGGATCTGCATTCACTCGGGGCATTCTTTTCAAAATTTTGATTTTTCGGTTGTATAAAAAACACTCATTCCTGAGTGGCTTAAATTATTTTGAAACAAAAACAAACAAACAAATTTAAATCATTTCACAGTTTTACAGCTCTGCTTTAAACGACGTTATGGTGAATCGCTTTAGGGAGCTGAAAAAAGGGTGAGAAGTTTGTTGACTTACGGGCGGTTTCAGGACCGAAGGGAACAACCACACTTTGCAGCAATGTTTCTTCACATCCTTCTTCTCCGAGTTGGCACTGCGTCCAGCGCGCCTTCTTCTTTCATCAGCTTTGAATTTCAAGTGGCCACCGCGAAAACGAAAGCCTCAAAGCCGTTCTGTGCGACGTAATATGCATGCTGACGCTAAACAAATTGGGTCTGGCGTAAGAAGCATATTTCAACAAGCGGTCTAGCGGACATTTGCATGTATGCGGAGCGGTACTTTTTATGAATACATTAAGTACAGAAAACACATTTTATTTTAATTGAACACTCATTTCACAAATTTTCATTTTCACACATTTATTCACCTACAAACATATTTTACAGGTTAAAATTCATCACATCACTGCAAAAGCCGCGCAAAAACTGCGCCCAACTTAACCGGACGGATAATAAAACAAAACGAGGAAATAGGAGCGGCGCTAGAAAGAGGAAATTCACTTGCAACCTTCATGATTAGCACGTTCACAAACCCTTTGAACAACAACCACACTTGCGAAAAGGCACGTTTTATGTTGACTCGGCTAAATTGTCTGCAGCCGCCTTCTATTAGCCACTTCTGTGTTCGCTTTTGCTTCTTTTAATAAAAACGAACTTCCTCTTTCATTTTCTACGGTATTTCCATTTCCTCAGTCGCTTCTTAACATTCGGTCGAGTGGTTTGCAAAAATTTGTGAATTGTGTTTTTATAAAAGCAAATAAAAATGCAATGGCTTAGTTAGTGATAAAGTGGTTAAAATGTTTAAATATAAAATGTGATAAGTGAAGTGTATGTATGTATGCATACGCCCAAGCTATAAGGCGCTAGTTTTATTGTGAAAAAAGTGGAAATTTTTATGAATCTCAGTGGCGATACAAGATGGCCGCTCGTATATGGAAAAGCTTCTGAAAATATGAAACCGTTTCGAAAAAATTTATTGAGTTTGCTATTGTGGCCGCTGGGCAAATTAGTTGGGTGAGTGTAGTAGTTATTACGTAGCGCAAAAAAACTGTCCAAAACGGAACCGGTTAAAAACTAGTTGCAAAGTTATGCAGTGGGCGACAATAGCCACTGCCAATGACATCGCCGTGTAACGATATACATAAATCTTTGGGTAGCTTCTCAAATTTTGTATACAGGTCCAACGGGCTGGCTATCACTGAATCCATCGCGTCGTTTGCAATTTTTCGAATTCAGTGATAGCATTTTCGTATCACTACGCATTCAGTGATAGCCCTGAATAAAAATAGATATGTTGCCATTAACTGCAGAGGTGATACTCCTATAAAAAAATAATAGAAATTCCTGGGACCTTCCTTTTGGTATGACGCTCCTCTAACATCTATTTAAATTTTTTCCAAGAAACATCGTAATCTAATCCAAAAGCGGTCAGTTTAAGCTATAACCTAACTAAACGCGTATTTATTTCTTCAAGAAAATGTACAGCAACCGCAATGCTTTTTCTAGCAAGAAAATTGATGAAAAACATTTCTTGTGATTGGAAACGGGCCTTAATACTCTGCACATTGCTTAATGTTGAAGTCGGCGACTTCAACCGCGCATTGATCCAATCTTTAATATGGAGGGTGAGCATGTACATCCACCGTCCATTAGCAAATAAATCCCATCGTTCTCGACGCAAAATTGCACCCGTACAATATATATATAAATTATAACATTTATAACTCTAATTCTGGTATGAAGTATTTATGAGCAATCTCTGATTTACCCTTTCCGCCTCAACAATGCCGTGTACTGCCAATAGCACGGCCAACAGCTAAGTTATTTCATTAGATGCGACTATGAAGTTATTGCAGACCTGTGCGGGAATTACATATGTATCTTATTTAAGCCTAACTACATTTTAATAAATGATTCTAAAAACTACCCAAGCTGTATTATTATGCAAGTTCTGGAACTCACTTCCGAATGAATTTCAACCCCTTTCATTCACTCACAAGTGAATTGCAGATCCTGCCGGTATATATAACAAGAAATCATCATTTCCCAGGTTATTCTAAAGTGATTTCTGTTTATTGTGAATGATCCATCTTTCGCAAATATAGAAACCGGTCTTAAATAACTATTTAGTGGGTTTTGGCAGCCAAACGCTTGTCACGTTCCTCGGCAATGCTCAATTTAACACCCTTGCCCTTAGGCAGCGAGATGTAGGGTTTGTTGCCCTTGCCAATAATAAAAACGTTTGTCAATCTGGTGGCAAACACATGTCCTTGCGAGTCCTTTACGTGAACGATATCGAAGGAACCAGGATGTCTCTCGCGGTTAACAACGGTACCAACACGACCCAAATTTCTACCTCCAGTAATCATGCACAGGTTTCCTAAAAAGTATGAATATCTAAATAGTGAATGCGAAGGAAACAAAAAATACTGCGCTTACCAGAGTCGAATTTAATGTAGTCGGTAATTTTACCGGTGGCAATATCTACTTGAATAGTATCGTTAGCCTTGATCAAGGGATCGGGATAACGAATGGTACGGCCGTCATGGGTGACAACGAATGGTACACCCTTGGCGCCAAGTTGTGTTTTGCGGACCTTGCACAATTTGTACTGCAAAAAATAAAATAAAATAAAATAAGGTTATTGGCAACATTTGGTTTGGCTTACATACTGTTTATTAGTTAGTCAGAAAATGAAATTGCGGGTTTCTTGTAATTGCACGTAAGTGTTACCAAATTATCACAGTAATCAAGATATTCGGTGACCGTCGTAACAAAAATTGCTTTTGGCTTACTTTTGAACCACATATATGTTTGGTATCATAATTATGTGGTCTTCGATCAAGCCAGCTATGTAAAGAAAGAAACTACACAAAACATACCTTTGCCTCCTCAGCCGAAATACGGTGAATTGTGAATCGGCCCTTAACGTCGTACACCAAACGGAAGAATTCACCAGTTTTTTCAATGGTGATGACATCTAAAAAATAAATAATAAAAATATTATTGAATGTATGTACTGTATTACATAGTATCCATTGCATATATTTACCCATGAAACCAGCGGGAAATGTTGGGTCGGTGCGCACTTTGCCATCAACCTTGATCAGACGCTGCATAACAATTTTGGTCACCTCAGCACCGTTCAGCGCATACTTTAGACGATTTCTCAAGAAAATCATGAGCGGCAATGACTCCCGCAATTTGTGTGGGCCACTGGATGGACGAGGAGCGAATACTCCTCCCAATTTG